AGCGCATCGTTTAGATCGCGGCGGTTATTATTGTATTGCTGATAATGGTGTCGGTGAACCCGATAAGCGTTTGATACGCGTTGAAGTTGAATTTCGACCACAGATTGCTGTTCAACGCCCCAAAGTCGCACAAGTGCTGTCACATGTCGCTGAATTGGAGTGCAATGTGCAGGGTTATCCAGCACCTGCTGTAGTCTGGTTTAGAAATGGCATCAAGTTGCAGACGGACTCACGTCATCAAATTGCTAACACTGCTTCTTCGCATGAGACCACAACGTCGGTTTTGCGTATTGCCAGCGTTTCGGATGATGATTTCGGTGATTACTTCTGTAATGCAACTAATAAGCTGGGTCATGCCGATGCTCGCCTACATCTTTTCCAGCCCGTCATACCAGTTCCATCGTCACATTGAAGTTTTTTATATTGAACATAAATCTTAAATCATAAATTCTCGAAATAAGATTTTCTTTTTAAGTATTGGCTTGAGTATTTGTGCTAATTTTGTATTTTTTTCACATTTTTAATTGTTTTTTTTTTGTTGTTTGAATTTTTTGCAATTTTGATAAACATTTTTTAGTAAATAAGCGTTTCATATACACTCACTGACTGATCAATTTCAGCACAAAAGACTAAAAATGTATTTTTGGATAAGTTTTTGCTTTCTTTGTCATATTTGCTTTTATTAAATAAAATTTGATTCAATTAATTTGTGTCTTGAGAATTTGCAGAACTCGTCATAATCAACTGAAACCAGTGACAAAAATTTTAAGAATGAAAATTCGAAAAGTTGAATAGAAGATAGAGTGAGCTTTGAGACACCTAGTAACTAGAATTTGAATTAAACGGCATAAATGAAGCTTCCGTCATTGATAAAAACATTCGTAGTCTTGATATGGACTTAGATTCCACCCAACTGTGAAAACTGCACTGTAATTCAAACAAATAATCTTATTAATGAAAATAGTCAGACGATAATTGATAGGAATTCCATTTAATTACAATCATAATTATTAAAATCACAGAAATTAAAAAATTTAATCAAGTTTTATTGAATATTTCGGTGAGCTGAATAGTCTAGAGATGAATAATATTTTTTATATGCTAGGTGCTCACGTTTTTAAGTGATGAGACTATTAATGAGATTCGGTACTGATAATTTTAATTAAAATATATCAATGGAAAACGTTTACGTATAGTTTCTTCAAATTTTATAAAACAAATTCAGATCAGAGGCGGATTAAACTTATAGTGGGCACAAGGAAGTTAGCTATTGATAGAATTTAAAAAGACAATTTATAATTTGAACTATGAAAACATCCTTACCGCTACTCACTCATAAATTGGCTTGATTTCTTATATTTTAGTTTATATGATATAGTATGAAACACAAACTATATTTTGTTAAAAATAAATGGTTTATTCCAAAGTTCAAAGCGATTAGCTTATCAATCTTTCAATGAAAGGTGTAAGATTTTCTGGAGAAAATGCTAATTGTTGCAGGAACTGGGGTGGGATCAATAGAAAGCGATAACTGATTGTTAAAGCAAATTGAACTTGATGTGTTAGTCGTCGTCTCGGTGAGGACTGCTGACATGAAGTCATGTGTATCATTAATAGAAGTGGATAACAAAATAATAACTACTCATCTTACAGCAAAGATTATAACTTAATACTGACTATTTTAGTCAAGAAACCACCATTAAGTATATATCATAATGCATATGTTATTTATGCAAAAGGAATCTACGAATTATTTGTGTCTAACAGAGATCTTTTGGATTATTTCTAGTATATTGTAGAAATACTCTAAATAAATCGCATCAGTGATATATTCACAATTTCGAAAAGGGCCATACAAGTGTTAATTAAAATAGTTTTTTGGAAAAAACTATATTTATTTCTAAATAACTGTTATTTAGAATAATAGCAATAATATGTGCCAAATAAACAAGTTTTAGATCAACCCACTGTTGTTGTTATGGCTCGAATAGCTCTCCAGTTCTTTGGGGACAATACCTGCTTCGCTGTATTTGCAATTTTGGCGAGAGTTCCTTCTTATTAATAGGAAGTCATACTTTCGCAAGACCAAAGCATTTATCTCCCTAATCTCTACCGATATTACTTTATACATTTATAATAGCATATATCAAAAATGCTATATAATGTATTTTCTTAATTCGCGACTTTAATACAAAAATAAAAAGTAATGTATACTTAATTAAGTAGAGAGACTCTTAGTTATAGGTTGTAGGCTTGTTTATATGCAATTATATACAATAGTCCTTAGTCCTTTCATTGTTAAGCTTCATTTAAAACTTGCGTTTATTTAAAATTGTAAGAATCGTGAGGTATATATAGTTGTCAATAGTGATGAGTAGCTACGAGTCGTATATTCAAACTCAGCAACTTAGTCTTTTTAAATATATATTATATCATAAGCCTTAATTATTTTATATGTATATGCGATATAGCTTTAAACTTCAATGGAGTATAAAAATTATTACACAGCTTACTTAGGTAAACTGTATAGCACATAAGGACTCTAAAGATCTTCCTCGCCCCAAAATAAAAGGAAAGATGACATAAATACATATGTGTATTTGTTATAAGTACATCATTGCAAGACTGTATGGATCTACTGCACGCTATACTGGAGTGTCATGGTATTACGAGTTAACTGATATCAACTTTCAACTCAATTCATTAACTAATATCAACTTAACTTTCATTCAATCTATTAATTAATTTAATTAATTTAATTCATTATATTATCTATTATCTTAAATAGGTAGATGAATTTTTGAAGTAACTGATTATGATATATTTATTACAATTATGTGAAATAAAAGTTATTTATATGATTATGTTAAAAGCATCTCACAGATTTGAGTTAATCATTTAGTTTGTTCATTAAACACAATAAAATTGTGTTAAATTTCTGATTCCATGTTCAACTTTAAAACGGAACTCAGATGCAAATGTGCCCCCTCCAGAACGAATCGTAAAATTGCTCGAAGAAATGCGAACATTAACAATGAAATTCTGTTAAATGTCTGTCTATACTGCAAATGGCGTTCTTAATAGTGCGTGAGCGCGTACTGCCACAGATGACGACCCTGCACAACAAAAGTCCTTGGTTTATAAAGAATATTTTATTGATTTTCGAAAAGTTACCCTTACGAGTCTCGTTTTGACTTCATGGAGTAGAATGCGTTTAGCTCATAGACATACATCTTTTGCATTTATGTGCGTGATTTTGTGTATGTGAGATGTATTAGGGTTGATTTTCCAATGAAATGAGTTTCATCCCTTAATGAAAGACACGAAAATGGCTCAGCTTAGGAGTGCTGCTAATAGATACATCAATATTATGAATGCTGTGTATTTGTTTGCAATCGTGCGTTCTTGCAACATCACAGTGTGGAAATTCCTACATAATGTTGAAGACTTACTATTTTAGTCCATCTGTGTGATCGAGAAAATGGATATGGATAATAATAATTTGTTATGGAATCATTTTTTTAAAGAATTCTAGAATGTTTTCTTACCAAAGGATTTAATTTGTAAAAAAAAAGAAATTTTAAATACTGCTTCATACTTTGATAATATTTATTCTAAATTGATTATAACGATATATCATAATCTCCTCATTTTCTCCTAAGTGGAGCATAGAGCCGTTAGAGTCATTATAATCTGAAATCAGCACCGAAGCAGAGGCATTAGCCGACTGTTGTCGGATACTTCTTGGATAATGACTTCCGTTGTGGTTTGATTCCGTGTTATGCTGACATATTTAGAGCGATCCATGAGTGAATGGGCTCAAAGATCTATGTTATTATGATAAAATAAAATTGTTAGAAAAGTGCATTAATATTTATAATTTATGTCAATAAAATATTTTTGTTCAAAACGACGTTCTATACTATCTATACTATCCAATCTACTAACGAAGATACTTCAATTATATTTTCATAATTATATTTAAACAGAAATTAAAGTTTACGTTTACTGATGTCAACACACATCATATAAATTGTTTTCTTGCAAATTATTTGTATATTATATACTCACCGAATATTTTTTGTAGTTAATTTCATTTAAAGTCATCCTACATATCATAGTATAGACTTTATCTCTGACTTTATTCATAATAACAAGAGAATACTTAGAAAATAGATTGCCATTCATAGCACCTGAACTAAAATATTCACTTATTAAATTGCATCACTACTTAGAAACATTGAATATAAACTATTTAAGATGATAAGCACCAATTTCAGAAGTCAAAGATAATCCAAACAACTCATTCAAGTCAACAACAGGATTTTTACTCTCAATACAATACATCTAAACTCAGATCTATTACACAATATTTTATTATTGATTATACTTCTTCTTTCCTAACCGCTTGGTCTGATTACGATGGTCAAGATGTGAGGTTAATAATTTTTCATGGTCTGATTACGATGGTCAAGATGTGAGGTTAATAATTTCTCATGGCTTTCATTAAATCGAATTAATTATGAATTTTGAAATTAAGAGGTATTATATTTATTACAGTCCTTAATTATAGGGATAAACTTAGGAAATTGTCTCCATATATACCATAATTGATCTTATAGGCCACAATGAACTATTGTAACTTTTAATAACAGAAAAAAAAACAAAAAATAAAAAATAGATAGAAAATAGTCTTTGAACTGATAAGTAATTAAGATTTCTCTCATAAGGATAACTCCAGAATTTATTAAAAAATTAGAAAATCTATTATTTACTTGAAGGATAGTAAATAATAAAATATTGAAGTGTTTGTGATCTTCATCGCAAACAGATTTTCATCACGATGCAGAGTAAAGGTCTTAAAAAGGAACAGATCTAATTCTAGGAACCGATCGCTAGAATCATCACCAGAAACCAGAACTATCGCTCAAATCAAAGTGGAGTTACTTTAGCAAATCCAGTTTTCTGTTAATTATTATTTATTATAAATGAGTTTGTTTAAATTAATAATATTTTAATATTCTTTTGGGTCAAGTATTGAGTTCTATACTACATATATATTACATTTTTTACTTAAATACTTGATTCTGACTTTTATTGGACATCGAAGTACTTATATATCATTTGAGTTTATGTCTTTTGGGTATTCTTAGTATATTCTTATTTTTATCTTGTTAGGTTCGTGAAACAACATTTCCATTCGGAAACGTCTACTGCCCATCGCAGTTCTTTGTTAGTTGCCAGTACAGGCGAGTCACACTAACCACTATTTAAATGTTTTTGTGACTAAGTTTGTATACTATCCCTGATTAACCATTTGGGCCTCTACATCAGGTTTAAAGGATCCGATCTTTTATCTATCTTTGTTATCTCTGCCAGGCTAGTGAAGAAATTTTTCTGGAGTAAGTATCG